CATCGGGCTCCCTGCTCGGCGGGGAGTCTGCTCCCTCTGACCCTCCCCCCTCTCATGCTCTCCCTCTCTCTCTCATTCTTTCTCAAATAAGTAAATAAAATCTTAAAAAAAAAAATTCTTACGGGGTATCTGGGTGGCTCAGTTGGTTAAGGGTCAGACTCTTTTTTTTTAAATTTTGTTATGTTAATCACCATACATTACATCATTAGTTTTTGATGTAGTGTTCCATGATTCATTGTTTGCGTATAACACCCAGTGCTCCATTCAATACGTGACCTCTTTAATACCCATCACCAGGCTAACCCACCCCCTCCCCGCCCTCCCCTCTAGAACCGTCATTTTGTTTCTCAGAGTCCATAGTCTCTCATGGTTCGTCTCCCCCTCCGATTCCCCCCCTTCATTTTTCCCTTCCTACTATCTTCTCTTTTTTTTAAAAAAACATATAATGTATTATTTGTTTCAGAGGTACAGGTCTGTGATTCATCAGTCTTACACAATTCACAGAGCTCACCATAGCACATACCCTCCCCAAAGTCTATCACCCAGCCACCCCATCCCTCCCACCCCTCACCACTCCAGCAACCCTCAGTTTGTTTCCTGAGATTAAGAATTCCTCATATCAGTGAGGTCATATGATACATGTCTTTCTCTGATTGACTTATTTCGCTTAGCATAATACCCTCCAGTTCCATCCACGTTGTTGCAAAAGGCAAGATTTTGTTATGGTGGCTGCATAATATTCCATTGTGTGTGTGTGTATATATATATATATATATATATATATATATATATATATATATATATATATATATATATCACATCTTCTTTATCCATTCATCTGTTGATGGACATCTTGGCTCTTACCATAGTTTGGCTATTGTGGACATTGCTGCTATAAACATTGGGGTGCAGGTGCCCCTTTGGATCACTACATTTGTATCTTTGGGGTAAATACCCAGTAGTGCAATTGCTGGGTTGTAGGGTAGTTCTATTTTCAACTTTTTGAGGAACCTCTATACTGTTTTCCAGAGTGGCTGCACCAGCTTGCATTCCCACCAACAGTGTAGGAGTGTTCCCCTTTCTCCACATCCTTGCCAACATCTGTCTTTTCCTGACTTGTTAATTTTAGCCATTCTGACTGGTATCTCATTGAGGTTTTGATTTGGATTTCCCTGATGCCGAGCGATGTTGAGCATTTTCTCATGTGTCTGTTGGCCATTTGGATGTCTTCTTTGGAAAAATGTTCATGTCTTCTGCCCATTTCTTGATTGGATTATTTGTTCTTTGGGTGTTGAGTTTGCTAAGTTCTTTATAGGTTTTTGATACTAGAAGGGTCGGACTCTTGGTTTTGGCTCAGGTAATGATCTTGGGGTCGTTGTGCTCAGCTGCTAGTCTGCTTCAGATTCTTTCTCTCTATTTCTCCCTCTCTGCCCCTCCCCCCCAATAAATAAATAAATAAATAAATAAAATCTTAAAAAAAAAACTCTAGGTAAGACAAATCAAGAAGGAAAAAAACACCAACTACCAATATCAGGAATGAAAAAGGAACATCACTACCAATCCCATAGATATTTAAAAAATAAAAAGGGATATTATGAGTAACTTTATGCCAATAAACTTGACAATTTATGTAAAATGGAAAACATCTTTGAAAAACAATATACTAAAACTGAAACAAGAAGAAATATAACATCTGATTAGGCATATCTATTAAGTAAATTAAACTTGTTATTAAAGAAACCTGGCCACTCCAATTATCACTAGGGAATTCTTCCACAATACTTATGGAAGAACTAATACCAGTTTTTGCAGCCTTTTTCAGAGAATAGAAAAATAGGAAATGTTTCTCAAATCATTTGGGTGCTAACATAACTTCAATGGGTTATGACATCCAAACCTGAATAAGACATTATAAGAGAGGAAAAGCAGAGGCCAATCTCATTTATAAATATAGATGGGAAAATTCTAAACAAAATATCAGGAAATAAAATTCAGAAATATATAAAAATGCAATAATAAATTATGAGAAAATGTGTTATTTTAAGGATGCAAATCCAATTTAATATTTGAAAATTAATATTAGTCACATGAACAGATGAAGAAAATAGGATTATCTCAATAAATACAGAAAAAGTCATTTGATACAATTCAGCACACATTCATGGTAAAGTATTTAGCAAACTGAAAGTAGGGAACATTCAGACTGTATTTTAAAACCTACAGGAAAAATTATCTTTAATGGTAAATTATTGAAGTTTCCCTTAATTATCAAGAATGAGACAAGGATGCCTGCCTTTACTATTTCACTTCAGTATTATACCATAGGTCCTAACCAGTGGAATAAGGCAAAGAAAAAATAAAAGGGACAATGATTGAAAGGGGAGAAATAAGAATGTCTTTTTAAAAAAAAATGACATGATTGTATATATAAAAAGTCATAAAGAATCTATTGATGATTATGATTAATAAATTAGGTTAGCTATTCCACTGGATATATGGTAGTATACAAATAGAAATTGTATTTCTGATAACAACAAAAATCATAAAATTTAAGATTTTGAGTATCATTTACAAAGTTTAAAAAATATCAAATATCTAGAAACAAATCTAACAACATGTGTAAGACTTATATACTGAAAAACTATAAAATACTGAGAAAAGTTAAAGTTCTAAAATAGAGGGATATATAATTTTCAATATTTGGAAGACTCAATGTTGGGAATATGTCAGTTCTCCCCAAGCACTCTATAGATGGAATAAAATCCTAAACAAAATTTCAGCAGACTTCTTTGTGAAAATCGACAAGCCAAATCTAAAGTTCATATAGAAATGCAAAAGGACAATAAGAACCAAAACCATGTTGAAGAAAAAGAATAAAAGTGGAGGACTTTCTGTGCTTACGCCCCTGGCGGTTGGCAGCTGGAGCGCTCTCAACGTGCAGAACGACGCCGGCGAGTTCGTGGAGCTGCATGTACCGCGGAAATGCTCCGCCAGCAACCGCATCATCGACGCCAAGGATCACGCGTCCATCCAGATGAACGAGGCCGAGGTTGAGAAGATGACAGGCAGGTTCAATGGACAGTTTAAAACCTACGCTGTGGGGCCATTCGCAGGACAGGTGAGCCAGATGACTCCATCCTCAAACTGGCCAACGCCAACATCGTTTCAAAGAACTTCTGAATGGAGATGATCAGGGATGTGGGGTATTTGTAAAGTGGAGAACTTACCTATCAGATAATCAAGCCTATTAAAAAGATATAGTTATTAAGACAATATGGTATTCCAGGATAAACCAAGAGAAAAACGGAAAGAAGAGTCTTGAACAGACCAATGGTCACCTGATTTATAATAAATTGACACTTCAGAAACAAACTAAATGATAGGGAATGAATCTTCTTTTCAAAAGATAGTGCATTTGGATATTTTTATGAAAAAATAATGTAACCCTAACCTCATTCATATGAAAAAAATCAAATTCAGGAAGATCATTGCTCTAAATATGAAAAGTAAAGCAATCGATTTAAAAAAATATACAAGAATATTTTCATGATCTTGGGATATATGCAAAGATTTCCTAACCATAAATGAAAAGTATTGGGGCGCCTGGGTGGCTCAGTCGTTGGGCATCTGCCTTCAGCTCAGGTCATGATCCCAGGGTCCTGGGATCGAGCCCCGCATCGGGCTCTCTGCTCGGCGGGAAGCCTGCTTCTCCCTCTGCCACTCCCCCTGCTTGTGTTCCCTCTCTCGCTGTGTCTCTCTCTTCAAATAAATAAATAAAATCTTAAAAAAATAAGAAAAGTATTGATAAATTAGACTAATGGTAAGATATTTTGTTCATCAAAGATAGCACAAGAGAGTGGAAATGCAAGCCATAAAGTGGGAGAAGATATTTGCAATACATACTTCTGAAAAAGTAATTACATTCAGGATATATAAGGAACTTCTAATAATTGATAAGGAAAAAGGCAAATGTCGTAAATAGAGACAAAAGACAAGTACTTCACAAGAATGTACCCTAATGGCCATTAATCATGTGAAAAAAGTGCTCAATTTAATCAGGGAGATGTTAATTAAAGTTACAATATCATCAGAGTGGTTAAAATTAAAAGACAGTATCAAATGTTGACAAGGACATGGAGCAACTGGAACTGTCTCTTTTTGCTGGTTTCAGTAAAACCACATTTGTAAACTTTTTACAATATCTGTTAAGGCTAAATATATGTGTACATCTTTGCACACAGAGGTCTGACTCCTAGGAATATATTCAACATAAATGCTCACATAGACACCAAAAGATATGTACAAGAATGTCGGTAGCAGCACTATCCAAAATATCACCAAACTGGAAAACCCCAATGTGCATCAACCGGAGAATAGATAAAGAGTAGCACAGTCATACAATAGAATAATATAAAGCACTGAGAATAAAATAAATTAAGACAATATATAACAGATGAATTTTAAAAACATAATGTTGAGTAAAAGAAGCCAAACATAAAAGAGAAATACGACATAAGTCCATTTGTATAAAAGTTCAAAAAAGAAAAAAATCTATGATAATAGATGTCAGAAGCATGCTTACCTTTAGGGGAGAGGGTAATGACCAAACAAAAACAGAAGGGAGCTTCTAGGGTTTTGGTAACATTTTAGTTTTAGTTTAGTTTCTACTTATAGGACTGTGTTCACTTCCTGAAAAATGTATTGAGTTGTACACTTATCACTTGTACCCCTTCTGATATGTTATATTTCAAAATAAAAATAACTTTTGTAAAATTGCAAACTTTTGTAAACATCGGTTAACACTTATTTCTTGAATGTAATCAAATAAGAAACCCAACAAGAAGTTTCTTCTCAAAATGTATTTTATGAAGAACACTGATATATCATTTAGTTTGTTCTGAAAAGTATTACTGCACTGAAAGTTAACAAATGTTTCTTTAGAATTTCCAATACCTAAGAACTGGAGATACGATAGGGTGCACTTCTGTGACTTAAAAGGACTTTGATAGTGTATACAATTTGTAATTTGGAGTGAAATGGCAAATACTATATGCCATAGTAAGTAAGGACGCCTGGTGGCGCTCCAGGCTAGAGTATGAATGAAAGGCTCTATGGCTATCCCGGACGCCATTAAGCTGGAATCAGAACAATGAGCGCTTCCTAAAAGAAGGAAGCATTTTAGTAAGATCTAGCGGCAGTTATCTTCAGAGAGGACATCATTCTAGGGCGAGTCGTCAGAAATATCTAAATCGAGGTTATTTAACCAAATCATCTGGGCTGATTGTATACAGAGTTGAAGAAACTGCACCTTATTGAATTGGGTCTGAGCAATGGAGACTGCGCTAGCAAAAACACCACAGAAAAGGCAAGTTATCTTTCTTGCTATATTGTTGCTTTTGTGGGAGGCTGCCTCTGACGCAATTAGGTATTCCATGCCAGAAGAAACAGAAAGTGGCTCCTTTGTGGCCAACCTGGCAAAAGACCTGGGGCTTAGGGTGGGGGAGTTAGCTACCCGGGGCGCGCGAATCCATTACAAAGGAAACAAACAGGTCTTGCAGCTGGATGTAGAAACCGGGAATTTGCTGCTATATGGAAAACTAGACCGGGAGGTGCTGTGCGGGGCGACAGATCCCTGTATATTATATTTCCAGTTATTACTGGAAAACCCGGTGCAGTTTTTTCAGGCTGATCTGCAACTTACGGATATAAATGACCATTCCCCACAGTTCCTAGACAAGGAAATGCTCCTAAAAATCCCAGAGAATGTTCAGCCAGGGACCATATTTCCTTTGAAAATAGCTCAGGACTTGGACATAGGTATCAACACTGTGCAGAACTACACAATCAGCCCCAACTCCCATTTTCACGTTGTCACTCGTAATCGCGGAGATGGCAGAAAATACCCAGAGCTCATGCTGGACAAAGCGCTGGATCGGGAGGAGCAGTCTGAGCTCAGTTTAACCCTCATGGCGCTGGATGGTGGGACTCCGCCCAGGTCCGGGACCACTGCAGTCCACATTGAAGTCGTGGACATCAATGATAATGCTCCTCAGTTTTTACAGTCGCTCTATGAGGTACCGGTTCCCGAGAACAGCCCCCTAAACTCCTTAATTGTTGTTGTCTCTGCCCAAGATTTAGATGCAGGAACAAATGGGAATGTAGTCTACACTCTATTCCAAGGCAATGAAGTTACTCAACCATTTGTAATAGATGAAATTACAGGAGAAATTCGTCTGAAAAAGGCATTGGATTTCGAGGCAACTCGATACTATAACGTGGAAATTGCAGGCACAGACGGCGGGGGCCTTTCAGGAAAATGCACTGTAGCTATAGAGGTTGTGGATGTGAATGACAACGCCCCTGAACTTACCATGTCGACGCTCACAAGCTCTACCCCAGAAAACTCACCAGAGACTGTAGTGGCTGTTTTCAGTGTTTCTGATCCAGACTCCGGGGACAACGGTAGGATGGTTTGCTCCATCCAGAAGGATCTCCCCTTTCTCCTGAAACCCACATTCAAGAACTTTTACACCCTAGTTACTGAGAGACCGCTGGACCGAGAGAGCCAGGCCGAGTACAACATCACCATCACCGTCACTGACCTGGGCACCCCCAGGCTGCAAACCCAGCACCACATGACGGTGACGGTGTCCGACGTGAACGACAACGCGCCGGCCTTCAGCCACACCGCCTACACCCTGCGGGTGCGCGAGAACAACAGCCCCGGCCTGCACATCGGCCGCGTGAGCGCCGCGGACAGAGACGCGGGCGCCAACGCGCAGGTCACCTACTCGCTGCTGCCGCCGCACGACCCGCGGCTGCCCCTGGCCTCGCTGGTGTCCCTCAACGCGGCCACCGGGCAGCTGTTCGCGCTCAGCTCCCTGGACTTCGAGGCGCTGCGCGCGTTCGAGTTCCGCGTGGGCGCGGCCGACCGCGGCTCGCCGGCGCTCAGCAGCCAGGCGCTGGTGCGCGTGCTGGTGGGGGACGCCAACGACAACGCGCCCTTCGTGCTGTACCCGCCGCAGAACGGCTCGGCGCGCTGCCCCGAGCTGGTGCCCAGGGCGGCCGAGGCGGGCTACCTGGTGACCAAGGTGGTGGCGGTGGACGGCGACTCGGGCCAGAACGCCTGGCTGGCGTACCAGCTGCTCAGGGCCACGGAGCCCGGGCTGTTCGGCGTGTGGGCGCACAACGGCGAGGTGCGCACGGCCAGGCCGCTGAGCGCGCGCGACGCCGTCCGGCACAGGCTGCTGGTGCTGGTCAAGGACAACGGCGAGCCGCCGCTGTCGGCCAGCGTCACGCTGCACGTGCTGCTGGTGGACGGCTTCTCGCAGCCCTACCTGCCGCTCCCGGCCGCGGCGGCGGCCGAGGCCCGGGCCGACCCGCTCACCGTCCACCTGGTGGTGGCCTTGGCGTCGGTGTCGTCGCTCTTGCTGGTGGCGGTGCTGGGGTTCGTGGCGGTGCGGCTGGGCAGGAGGAGCCGGGCCGCGGCGGGGGGCGGCTGCTCGCTGCCCGAGGGCCCCTTCGCGGGCCACCTGCTGGACGTCAGCGGCGCGGGGACCCTGTCGCACAGCTACCAGTACCAGGTGTGTCTGACGGAAGGCCCCGGGTCAAATGAGTTCAAGTTCTTGAAGCCTATTATCCCCAAATTTCCGCCCCATGGCGCTGTCGAAGTAATAGAGGGAAAGGCCACCTTCCGGAATAGCTGTGGATTCAATTAGGGATCTGATCATAATGCCCTGTGTTTTGCCATTTATCTCTAATTTCCCCAAATACCAAGTTTGAGAACGTCACGGAGAAAAACCCCACCTTCAGGTATGATTTCCCTTTTGTAGTAAATTTATCCTTTGAACTTTATCTTGTCCAGTTTTGAAAAACTGAATTCTATGTCATGGCATCTATTTACACAGTGCCACCCCAAATCTAAGCATGCTCTTGATTTTTCTGAGATGTTTGCTCCTGATGGTATTTGTCAGGGTGAGCTATTTTAATGAAATCAAATATTGTTTTTCTCTGTATTCTATTCATTTTTCATCACACTCCAAGTGTTTTTGATGCTAAATAGCAAAAATAAAAATGTTTTTACATAATTTTGTTTTCAAAGGAATACATGCACATGATAACAAATGTAGTGTGTGAGAAAACCTGACAAAAAGCAACAATAATCTGGGCACCTGGGTAGCTCCAGTGGTTAAGCCTGGGCTCTTGGTTTTGGTTCAGGTCTTGATTTCAGGGTCAGGATCTGCCTGTGTGGGGCTTTGGCTCAACTCAGAGTCAGCTTGAAATTCTCTCTCTCTTCTTCTGCCCCTTCCCACCCCCCTGCGCTCTCTCTCAAATAAGTAAATTAAAAAAAAAAAAAAAGCAACAATCTTCTACTCTTCTTTCCTAGCTCTGATCTACACTGGCAAACATTTTGTTAAACAAACATTTTTTATTGAACTATACATACAGAAAAGGGAACAAATCCTGACATCAGCTCAATGTGTTTTAAGAAAGTGAACATACTTGGTACCAGTATCTTGATGAAGAAATGAAACATTGTTAGCATTTCAGGTGCCACACAAATTACCCCTTAAAGTCACTACCAGCCCAAGTATAACAAATATCCAATACTATGTTTTAGTTTTTGCCTGTTTTGAATTTATATCAATGGAATAGTAGAGTATGAACTATTTTGTGTCTGGCTTCTTTCACTGAACATTATGTTTCTGAAATTTGTCCATGATATTGCTTTTAATTTTAGTTTTTATTATCATTGCTGTATAGTATTCCATTGTGTGAAGCTTTCCCAATTTATTGCCCATCCTATTTGGGCTGGTGCAAGGTTTGACTATTCGAATAATACTGCTTTGAACATTCTCATACATGTCCTTTGGCAAATATTTATATGCCTTTCTGTTGGTGTATACCTAGGAGTGAAATTGCTGCTAAGATCAAGTGTAGTAGATACTTCCAAATAGTTTTCCAAACTGGTTGTACCAATTTACACTGCTGTCAGTACAGTCTGGATGTTCCTCCACATTTTTGCCAAAACTTGGTATTTGTTTTTCATTTTATCCCAATGGAAAGTACTTTTAAACCTTTTATTTCTAGTTCTTTTTATATTCATTTCTTTATTACTAAAGAATGTGTTTGTAACTTTTTCGTAAACTTAAAACAATTTCCTCAATTTCCTGCTGTTGTTTAGTACCTAGCACACTTAAAACTTCTCTCATTCATCCTTCACATATGGCTGTGTCACTGTTTTCCAGTACTTCCCTGCACAAACTGAAATCTTTTATTTATTATTCTACTAGCAACATTTATTGTTCCACTAACAACAGTTCCTTTGCATTTACTTGTATGACAGAATAGAATACAGTTCTTATTTTTTTCCTCTTACCTCTTTCTCCCTTACACTTTCAGACCTCTATCAAATTAACTTTTACTTTTGTCAAGGTTGATGACATTTTTTACTCTACAACCATAGCTAAGAATTCCCCCTTTTGTCTGTAGATCTGTTTTCTGAAAATCAATATTAAAAATTCACCATTAATGACACATAAATTATGAATGCCCTGCAGCCAAAGATCACCAGGAACACACTGCATCAGAACAAAGTTGGGTTTATTGACTTGTTGTAATGAGGGAGACTGCACATCCTGGGAAAGCATGGGTTACCTTAGTAATAGCGCCTTAAAAAGGAGCTATAGGTTTTGGGCTTGTGTTCAGTGATTTTGCATAGAGTTCAAGGAAGTAGCCCTGGATTAGATGCTTTCAGTGAATGGCAGTAATTCTATTATAGGGCTCTTACTGAATTTTATTTAGGAGATGAGAAGAACAAAGTGAGGTTAAAGCTGTAACTGGTTTTTTATTTTTTATTATTATTTTTTTGTTTTGTCTTAAAGATTTTATTTATTTATTTGACAGAGAGAGACACAGAGAGAGAGGGAACACAAGCAAGGGGAGTGGATGAGGGCAGGGAGCCCAATGCAGGGCTCAATCCCAGGACCCTGGGATCATGACCTGAGCCTAAGGCAGATGCTTAATGTCAGCCACCCAGGCGCCCCTGTAACTGGGCTCTGTAACTGGTTTTTTAAAAACCTGCATTCACTCATAATAAGCTAGGACAGAGGACTTGGTCATTTTTGGGGGGGGGGCGGTTTACCATGTTCTTGTTTTTGTCTCTGCCCAAGCATGATCATGATGTCATCTTATTGTGGTTGTTTCCATCTTATCACAATGGTCTTTAATGATGTTCTGTGAAGTTATTTATATTCAACAGGAGAAGATCATGGCCCATTTGTGAGTGCTAGGCCAGTTCCTATTTATAAGAGGCTGATTTTCTCTTTCTCAAAATATTCATTGTACTGTAAAATCCCTAGAAGAAAGCACAGGAGAAAAGCTTCATGACATTGAATTTGGCAATGACTTCTTGGGCATGACACCAAAAGCAATGAAGGCAAAAATAGACAAATGACACTACATCAAACTTAAAAATTTTTATGCATCAAAGAACACAGTCAACAGTGAAAAGGCAATCTATCGAATGGGAGAAAATATCTGCAAATCTTTTATCTGATAAGGGGTTAATGTCCATAATATTTAAGAACTCCTACAACCCAACAGAAACCACAAAATATCAAGTAACCTCATTAAAAAATGAACAAAGTAATTGAATGGACATTTCTCTGAAGATGATGTGCAGATGACCAACAAAAATATGAAAAAATGCTCAACATCACTAATCATCAGAGAAATGGAGATCCAAACCACAATGAGATATTACCTCACACACACATGAGGATGACTGCTATCAAAAACCAGAAAATAGCAAGTGTTTGTAAGGATGTAGAGAAACTGGTACCTTTGTGCAGTGTTGGTGAGATTGTAAAATCGTGCAACTGCTATAAAAACAGTATGGAGGCTCCTCAAAAAATTTAAAAGAGAACTTCTATATGATCCAGCAGTCTCATTCCTGGGTGTATATCCAAAGGAATTGAAAGCAAAGTCTCAAAGAGATATTTGTGCACCCATATTCATAGCAGCAGTATTCACAACTGGCAAGAGATGGAAGCAACCCGAATACCCACATATAGATGAATGAATAAACAAAATGTGGTGTGTGTGTAAAGAATGGGAATATTATTCAGCCTTAAAAAAGGAAGGCAAGCCTATCACATGCTACAGCATGGATGAACTTTGAGGGCATTATTCTAAGTAAAATAAGATAATCACAAAAAGGCAAATATTGTATGATTCCACTTAAATCATGTATCTAAAGTTGTTAAATTCATACAAACAGAAAGTAGAATGGTGATTACCAGGGATGGGGGGAGGAGGAGAGGGGAGTTTTGTTTAATGGGTACAGAGTTTCAGATTTGCAAAATGAAAATGTTCTGAAGATCGGTTTCACAACAATGTGAATATACTTAACATTGCTGAACTGTACACCGAAAAATTGTTATGATGGTAAATTTTGTTATATTTTTAACTACAATAAAATATGTTGTTCATTGCAGAGCCATATTACTTAGTGGTAAGGACTGTGTTTTCTGCTCCTTTGATCTATTCTTGTGTTTCCTGTGCCATTGAAAATAGAGTGTTCCTAGAATCAAGATCAAATAGATTCACCATTTTAGACTCCATCAGTTGGCTTTACCATATCTTCAAATATCTTTAAATCAATAATTCAGGTTCCCATATTTCTTGCCCGAAGCCCTCTATCTTTCTGCTTCTTTCTGGACTAAATGATCTCTAAATGTGAACAAAACTATCATCTTGTCTTCATACCTCTCCTAGTTAAGTCCATTGATAGATTACTTATCTCCTTTTTAAAAAAAAAATTCCCTCTCTTTGCTACAGTATATCCTCAAGTGGATTCCTGAGAGGGTATACGAAAAATGAACTCTTGTCTCTGCATGTCTGAAAATGCATTTAGTTTTCTTACACTTCATTGATATGTTATATATTATATATGTCATTTAATGTCATATATTTTAACACTTCATGCTTTTTCATATCTGGGATTATTTCATCTCTACTATTATTTCCTTAATAACAGTATTCCTAATTTTATCTTGTTTTTTTCTCTGAGACTTGTGTTTGTCAGATATTGAACACTCTCAATTATTCCTCTATGTTTCTTATATTTCTCTTGCATTTTACATCTTTGGTTTTTCTTCTCCATCCTTTTTTAAAGTAAGTCCCTCACTTTATTTTGAGTATTTCTATTTCTTCCCTTAGGAGAAGTGTTGATATTTGTTGCTACAGGAAGCAGAGAGATCCTGGCAACTGCACAACAGAGGAGCAACATGCTGAAAACATAGGGGAAAAGCCTCATGACATCATATTTGTTAATCCACATCAAAAGACATCATAGTCAAATTTCTGAAAACTAAAGGCAAGGAAAAAATCTTGAAAGCGGTGAAAATGACACATTATTCATAGAGCAATAACAATTTGAATGACAGTAGACTTCTCATCAAAAACCATAGAGGTTAGAAGAAGGACACATAGTTTTCAAGTGCTGAGAGAAAAGAAATGTTAACCCAGAATCCTATATCCAGTGAAAATATCCTTCAGGAAGAGAATTGGTTGCCAGTACACCTACCCTAAAAGAATGGCTGATGAAAGTTCTCCAAACGGAAAGGAATCAATTAAAAAGAAAGGAATCTTGGGACTCTGAGCGTGCGACTCTTGATCTCAGGGTTGTAAGTTCGAGCTCCATGTTGGACGTGGAGGCTACCTGAAAAAAAAAAAAAAGGAATCTTGGGACATCAGTAAAGAAGAAAAACACAGGAAACAAAAATATGGGTAAATGTTATAGACTTTCCTTCTCTTGAGTTTCATAAATTATGTTTGATGGTTGAATCCCAAATTATATCTGATTATGTCTGATATAATTCTAAGTATATAGAGAGGAAATTTTTTTTTTTTTGAGAGAGAGAATGAGAGAGAGAGAGCATGAGAGTGGGGAGGGTCAGAGGGAGAAGCAGACTCCCTGCCGAGCAGGGAGCCCGATGCGGGACTCGATCCTGGGACTCCAGGATCATGACCTGAGCCGAAGGCAGACGCTTAACGACTGAGCCACCCAGGCGCCCCTAGAGAGGAAATTTTTAAGACAATTATAAATGGGGATGTAAAGGGATATAAAGGGAGGTAAGTTTTCCACCCTGCTCTTGAACTGGTAAAATGACAATACCAGTAAACTGTAATAAGTTATGTATGGAGCAACCATTATAAAAGCTATACAATGTGATACACTAAAAAACACTACAGATAAATCAAATTGGAATTCTAAAAAATGTTCTAATAACCCACAGGAAGGCAGGAAAAAGAAAACAGAGAAACAAAAAAACCCTCCAGGGAACAAACAGAAAACAAAAA